GGCTCGTGATAGGGCTTCTTGCAGTTCTTGATGAACACAGAGTTCCATGAGTCTGGCCCTGGGGCAGAGTGCATGGGCATGTCATTTATCGCCTGTTCGAAGTCATTTGGCGTCAGGATAACATCGGATAGGCTTGTGTTAATCAAATTTTGTGGCTCTCTCATAAAAAATTCATTTTGATCTTCGACTCTCAGTCTGGTTAGCGGCTTGCTAAAAACTGAGTCATATTGGGACTTGAGTAGCTCACTCATTTCCTTGTTGTCATCTGTGTAGGACCCATCTTGTTTAAGTAGGGGCCCAATACTGGACGTTGTTTCTCGATTTTGATTTGGCATAGGAGAAGAAATACTTTGGGTTTCTTTCGATTTCATTTATGGCTTTTAGTTCTTCCCGCGATTCCTGACTCCTAAAGGATTCTTTTAGCTTAAGTTCGATGCTTGCTATTTCTCTGACCATGGTCTCCCTACGCATTTCAGATATATTGACCTCTTTTAGCCGCTCTGTTTTCTTTTCCGTCGCCTGTAAAGGGAGCGCCTGTCTCTTTCTGTTTACATCTACTCCTCCTTTTTCTTAGAGGAATAAGCCTTGTGCATACATCGAGTGCTACCGAGTTAATCTGTTCTAGGCATAAGTTGGGGTCTGTGTTGCTTAGTATATCTTCCCAGCTTATATCGGTTAGGATTTGGGTTTTTACTTGGTCCCACTTTATGTTTTGTTATTGAAGTTGAATTTGGTGAATGCTCCCTCGTGACTAATCTCATTATGTCGGTCTGGGGCTCCGCGCATACATGACTGAACCTCAATTATGTTGTGATCTGAGTATATTGTTTTTGATATGGTGATATTTCTTATCAGATCATCATTGTTAGTGAAGATGAGGTCTAGTGTATTCTCCAGTCTAGTAGGCTCTATTATTTGCTGGTTTAAATTGAATTTTGTGCAGAGATTTAAAAGCTCGCGTGAGTGTGAGTTTTCATCAGAGCTGCCTCCTGGTGTTATTACTGCAACAATATTATTGCTATATTCCTCCATTTTAGGTGCCTTAAGTTGAAATCCCCCAGGGGCAAGATTTGGGTGCAGGAGCTGGAAGGTTTTCCAGACAGTGGTCAATTTTTTAACAGCTGTTCCTGGAATTGCTGGGATGTTGCATCCGGAGGCTTGTAGACTATCACAATGACTAGGTTTTGGTTCTCGACCTTTACTGCTAAAACTTCCACTACATCATTTGAGGCATTTAGCAGTTCTGTGCAAACAAGTGACTCTGCAATGTACAGGCCAACCCCCCCCCCTTTTGCCTGTTCACTCTGTCACATCTGTATAGGTTGTAACCTGGGATCCATATTTCGTTGTCCAAGTGATCCTTTATGTGGGTCTCAGTGAAAGCCGCGAACATTGCCTTTGCCTCTGCAAGCAGTCCACGGGTGAAAGGTATTTTGTTGTTTGTTGCTGGCTTTAGACCCTGTATATTTGCAAAGAAGAATGTTATCGGACTGGTGGTATTGTTGGTACTGATTCTATGTCATCATTGAAGGCTCTTGACTCAAATAATGACTCCAACAACATACTCATTGGAGAAGCCAGGTATAGATACTCAAAAATTAGGGACAAAGGAATTAATGTACAATTGCTATGGATCCCATCACACATTGGATTACTCCTTCATGATAAAGTTGATATGTTAGCCAAGAAGAGTACCCAGAAGGAGAATGTAGAATATAACTTTGGTATAACTGTGTCTAGCATTAGGAATAATATTAGGAGAGAAGTAAATAATGAAAATGATTGTTATAGGAATGCAGTTAGAAGCCTGAGTAGATCTATAACCCACTATGATAACATGAACGTAGATAAGTATGTTTATGGAGCAACTTGCAATGTGAACAGACTGATGTTGTAGTGGGCCCGGCTTAGGCTTGGTTACAAGTACTTCTGGCAGTTTGGGAGACACACAGATGATGATCAAACTAAATGTAAATTATGTGATCAGGCATATGGTCACTCTCTTGAACACTATGTGCTTAATTGTCCACTTATTGAGGAATACAGAGACAGACAGTATAATAACCTATGTGACATGTCAAGATATCTTATTAATGAAAATAAGATACCAGATATGCTAAGCAAATTTCCTAAATTTGCTTGCAACAGATAAGTGAACTATAGATATGTAGATATAAATCCATATGTATTCCTGTTAACCCTTTGGGGCCTAGTTCCTAGGCCTTTTGTGTATCCATATGCTCTCGCGCTACCGTCCACAGGATGGATATGGGGTGCACAATAAACTAGCCACTTCGGTGGCAAAATCTAATCTAATCTTACCATCCTATGGAGAGGGAGCATGGACATGGGGGTCGTCCCACAGTTACTAAAACAACAGACATAGCCCCGCTCCACAAAGGGGGCAGTAAAGCAATAGCAAAGAACTACAGACCGATAGCACTAACATCCTATATCATAAAAATCTTTGAAAGGGTCCTAAGAAGCAAGATCGCCACCCATCTAGAAACCCATCAATTACACAACCCAGGCAACATGGGTTTAGAGCAGGTCGCTCCTGTCAGTCTCAACTACTGGATCACTATGACAAGGTTCTAGATGCATTAGAAGACAAAAAGAATGCAGATGTAATATATACAGATACACAAATAACCCGCACATAAAAGAGAGAAGCTTAGGACGACGTTTCGGTCCGACTTGGACCATTGACAAAGTCACACTAACCAGAGGTGGAGCAGGACGGCTATATATAGGCAGGAAGAGGTGGTGGTAGTAGTAGTAGTAGTACAAGAATTGTATATAATACCGACAGGATGAAATTAAGACACATGCACAACACCCGGGCATCCCCATCATAGACGTTTCGCCTATATATAGCCGTCCTGCTCCACCTCTGGTTAGTGTGACTTTGTCAATGGTCCAAGTCGGACCGAAACGTCGTCGTAAGCTTCTCTCTTTTATGTGCGGGTTATTTGTGTATCGTTCCAGTCACGGTATTGTGCCTTTTTTGTTATTTAATATATACAGACTTTGCAAAAGCCTTCGACAAGTGTGACCATGGCGTAATAGCCCACAAAATGCGTGCTAAAGGGAAAAACAGGAAAAGTTGGTAGATGGATCTATAATTTCCTCACAAACAGAACACAAAGAGTAGTAGTCAACAGAGAAAAGTCTGAGGCGGCTACGGTGGACCTTTTTGTTCCACAAGGCGCAGTACTCGCTGCCATCTTGTTCCTCCTCTTCATATCTGACATAGACAAGGATGTCACCCACAACACCGTGTCTTCCTTTGCAGATGACACCCGAATCTGCATGACAGTGTCTTCCATTGCAGACACTGCAAGGCTCCAGGCGGACATCAACCGAATCTTTCAGTGGGCTGCAGAAAACAATATTAAGTTCAACGATGAGAAATTTCAGTTACTCCGATATGGTAAACATGAGGAAATTAAAACTTCGTCAGAGTACACAACAAACTCCAGCCACAAAATAGAGTGAAAAGCCAACGTCAAAGACCTGGGAGTGATCATGTCGGAGGATCTCACCTTCAAGGACCATAAACTTTGTTCAATCGCATCTGCTAGAAAAATGACAGGATGGATAATGAGAACCTTCAAAATTAGGGATGCCAAGCCCATGATGACATTCTTCAGGTCGCTTGCTCTATCTAGGCTGGAATATTGCTGCACACAAACAGCACCTTTTAAAAGGGAGGTGAAATTGCTGACCTAGAAAATGTACAGAGAACCTTCACGGCACACAATAAA